TGGAATTTGCTGCCTAAAGCCATCAAGGATGCTTCCTCTCTACAGCTTTTTAAACAAAAACTTAGACAGGCCTCAAGGACATTAGATCGCATTCAATTCGAAAAGGAGGCCTGTGTGATAACATCAAAGCAAACGGATTTTTTATACTTTTAAGTCCTTGAAATTTCTTTACTTTTTCCTTAGAATTGTCCATATATTTAAGTAGTTCCTTTTTAGTTCCTGGCAGGTCCACACCAGCCTTTGGGTTGCCACAAACCGACCTGCCTTAACAAAAATTATATGTATGTATGTATGTATGTAGTAAGAAAACTGGTGTGCCTCACGTTTCTAAGAAGTCTGTTTTAAGGTGCCATGCTTTTTTCAACGCGCTTCGATCGGAAAAAACTTACCATGCCGCCCGATGAACTTTTTTCGATCGCGCTCATATGCGCAGTGTAGCTTGGGCAGTTAGGCATTAGTTCACTAAGATTTAAGAAATGACTATCACATTTTACAAACCTTTACTCTCCTCATTTCAATGAAATGGCGCTAGTACGTTCACTGACGCAACTTTTGGGAAGATTTTGTAACCTGGGCAAACTTTAAGTAGATTTACTCTTCTGAATATAAAGCTCAAATCAACACAAAATGCAAGAATTTTTGAATGACTAATTGGAATTTTACCTTTACTATTCTATATTGTGCATTCTTTTGCTAATTTTTGTTGGGATTGCAATAAGTTTTTTGTTATTCAGTATCATGCCGAATCTCAAGGATCATTCTTAGATTGCATTTATTATTCTGACTGAATTGACCCATTGCACCTTAAGAGATTAGGCTCCTCCAGTGTTGAATGGATTGAAATGACCACAAAAATGCGATGTTGTGATCCCCTCAGAATGGATCCAGCAAGCTTGGTTAATAAGAGATTTATTATACGACTGAAGTTCAAAGGGACACAAGTGCGGTATCATTTGAGACCATTTGGGACAGTGCCCGGTCCAATACTGAGAGAATGTTGACTGGCAATAGAGCATTTTGATTGATTAATTTTAGTTATTGGCCCTCTGACTACCCGAGTCGTGTGATAATAGATATATATTGATCTGACTGGCCCGACCAGAACTAGAAGGAACCATGACTTTAAAATCAGACCTAGAGCCACAAGGACAAACTATTTTAAATTCTCATTTTTTAACCATTATGTTAATGACTGGAACTCATTACCTAATTCTGTTGTGTCGGCTCCCAGTTTAAATGTCTTTAAAAATTGATTATTTAATTATCTTTGTACTTATTTGTTTTGTATTGTTTACTATGATTAACTGTATTTGGACTTTATTGTATCATTTATTGTAATTTACTATATTTTGATTTTATTGTCAAGACATAGTAGTTTCTCCATTTTCTTTTTTATCTAGATGTGTGGTTATGTAGTTGTCATTTCTTTTTATTTTATTATCTTCTAACTTAGAGAGCAGTTTTTATATGGGAATTCAGTTTCCCCCTATTGCTTTCCTTTACCTTCTGTACCTATTTTATTGTTTCTAGTACAGTGGTAAAAAGCATTATTAAACTATTAAACATAATTACTTAATATTTGTCATTCATGAACACTTCACACTTTGGATTGAAAATACTTAAAGCTAGGGAAGGGGTTACATCATATGATAATAGAATGAAATCTGCAATTTGATTGATTCTGGGAAAGATGCTGATATGATGTCACCATTAGCAACTTGTTACTTTTATATCATATGGAGCAAATTAATTCCATGTTGCCATGGGTCTGTACCGTAATAAATCACAGAAGACAACAAAATGCAGTGGTATCAGTGACATACTCGGCTATACCTCATGTGCCACTTTTTTGTTCTTACCACATTTTAATGTCATCTGTAATCTCTCTCCATGCTGAAATCAGGGCTAAAACCAATTTTTGAACTTTAAGGTTATTTCCCACCTACAGAGGCCGAAAAAATAGTTTTTTCTTTATTCGACTAGATTGAAGTTAGCAGAGCTCGACACTAACTTTTCAACTTACCAGCCAAGTGGCTAGTGACATTTTAGATGTTACGACAATTCCAGTTTGTTTACTAGCTAAACTGGCTGGTGGAAATCGAAAAACACTAGCCAAAACTGAATTTCTACTAGTCTGTGGCTAGTAGGCTACCACCAGTGTTGAGCCCTGGTTAGACATTTTAACCTAACATTTTCAAAAAGAAAAATTTAAAAATCCTAAAGAACATCGGATTTATTTAGGAAAATGTATTTTTAAATAAAAGTTATTAAATTGGGAAGGTGTCATAATCTTGTAATGGGGCAAAGCCCCTTGGGGGAATATTTGCAGCAATTTCATGTTATTTGCATATTTTGTTTACATTGTGCACTTTACAAAATTCATACATAGAAGTTCTCTGCTAGTGGAAAGTCTTTTTTCATTGATAAAAACATAACTAAAAATTGGAGAGGAGCCTTGGGCAAAGAAAAAGAAAAAAACAGGCCCAAGGAAGAGAGAAATGTCACCATTTTGTCAGGGGAAAAAAAAAACAGTCTAGGCACTCTTCTCCACGCTGGCATCCAAAGTGCAAACAAAGAAGTCACCATCAAATCTACATATATTGTACATAGGGTTAAAAACCAAATTTCCTTTCAATTAGCAAGTACTGGTCTTGATACAAAAACATAGGTAATCGCCTCGAATCATATGAAATTATGAGTAAACCTACCCAAGGGATCTCATTTAATTAGCAACAAGGGTATTCCTTAAGCTGTCTGTTGATTTGCTGTTTTGCTTTTCAGCAGTTTCTCCAGCTTCATCTTTTTTGCTGCAGGTTTTTCCTTCGCCAATTGTTCCCATTACTCAACATTCAATAAAGCTAGATAAAAAATCTTGATCCATTGTCATTGACAGCAGGAGAAGCAGAAACTCTGCTCCAAGGGTTTACTGACCTATTCCAAACCTCAAAACTAGCCATTACATTTTTTGCCCAGTTGGTAACACAAGGTGGCTATTAACATTGTAATCCAACAAAATGTAGCAGTTAAGTTATTGTGTCAGTGGCATGGCCTGAAAGCTTAAATTTTTTTCTACCCAAAGGTACATGTAGAAGAGAGTGTTCTTGAAAAGGTCTTGATTAGAGTTGACTTTTTGCCAAACACTTTTTTTTGCCCTTGTTGTTGTTTTTGGTTTGTTCATTGTCTTGTTGGTTGTTATCTTGAATTTCTTAATTCATCAGTTCATTGTTGTTATTTATTTTGTAGCTAACTGTGGAGTGGCAAAAGATCAACATATAATTGTTGATAATGATGTTAAAAATATATCAGTGGGTGGTAAGTACTCTTGCCTTTGATTTATGATACCAGCTGATGGTAAAAACCATCCTGTTTCAAAGTAATCAATGAATCATGTTAGTCTAGTGCCCAGAGCTTTTGCGGCCAAGAGGTTGTAAGTTCCTACATTTCAGTTACATTTATAGGCTGGGTAGGATCTGGGTATGAGGTTGATCTTTTGTGGATGCTTCTTCATAACATATGCCCATTCTTACGTCACTTTGTTTTGGCTAAGGAAAATCTCTTCTCTCTGGGAATTTATCATTCACCCTACAGTAGTTTTGGGGCAATTTTGGTTATACATAAATTTCATAAAGGGTATCTCAGGGGTGATGGCTCTTACAACTAGCAGTTAAAACTTAACAGCTAATGGTTACTCTTCCCCATGCGTCAAAAAGAAAAATTTCACGGTTACCTTTTTTTTATGCCCAGCATTTAAAATTTGTTAATTTTTATGCTCAATTAAAGTTAACCCCAATAACACCCTCTTCATAACATAGATGCACAGTGGGTGGTTCCCTGTCAATTCAAAAAATATAACTATACATTAGACTCGCTATGAAAAATCTGATTGGTTGAGAGCATTCAATCAATATACAATAGTGTGTGAAGTTGACATGATAACCCAATATCTGCAGTGGATATTGCATCTATCATTTATATGCCGAGTTCAAAGTCTGCATCTAGTCCATGTTGTGTTCTCAAACTTTTGCTTGTTCATAGTGGAGTATCTTGTTTGAATTTGTAGATGGTCTAAAAAATGTATAATACAACAATAATTGAATTCAGTTTTCGCATGATATCATAAATTTTCATACCCCATGTGTGAGTTATCTGCCTCAGACCCAAATACTCATGAAGATGTTTGTATCTCAAAGCTAGAAGCTTAATAAGTAAGATCTGTGAATTTCAAATGCTTGCCATCGATGCTGATATGATAAGTATAAATGAAACATGGTTGAGACCTGAAATATTGGACTGTGAACTCTCGCCTGGAAATGGTTTACCATACACCAATTCAATAGGACTTACAGACTTGGAGGAGGAGGGATGCTAGCAATCAGAAATACCATCCATAGCCTCCAAAGGAAAGACCTCGAAAGTAACGTTGAAATTTTGGCCTGTGAACTGCATCTCGAGTCAAGAGGGAAACTCTTGGCTGTGGTTTTATACAGACCCCCTAATTCAGATTTGGCTTATATCAAGGAGTTCAAAAACTCTATGCAACTCACCTCTAAAGCCAAGTTTGGAAAGATCCTCATTTGTGATGATTTCAATCTTCCCCACGTTGATTGGTCTACTGGAACAGCAACTTCTAGTGATGCAATCCACAGTCACTTTGCCAAGGCCATTAAAGATAAGTTCCTGTGGCAGTTCATCCATTTTCCTACCAGAATCAACAATACGCTTGACTTAGTACTTACATCCTGGACAAAGTGATAAACTTTCATGGTTTTGATATTTTTAATTCAGACCACAAACTGTTAAGCTTTGAACTGAATCTAAACATCCAAAAGAAATCTAAAGTAAAGTATTGTGTTTACAATTTCAAGAATGCAACTCGGTCAGGCTTAAAAGAATTACTTTTGCATACCCCTTCAGACATGGCCTTTGTTCCTATTGATGTCAACGAGTCCCTTTGCAAATGGTGCAACTTGTTTATCTCTGCTGTTGATGAACAGATACTGAAATATACAAAAAAAGGGGGCAATCATCCATGGTTTGACTTTGAACTTCTGGTGCTCCTCAAAAAAGAGAAACAACCAAAGGAAAAAAGCAATGAAATCTATTTAACTCCTACTGACCTTGAGAAATTTCATCTGCTCTGGTGAAAGACCAAACAAATGATCAAGAAAACAAAGAAAAGACCACTTGAATAAAATAAGAGACTCAATTCTTTAAAATCCAAAGTGTTTTTGGTCATTTATCAAATCATCTACAAAGATAAAACCGATTCCCTTCTTTCTCAGGGATGGAGTATCATTTGTAAACCAACAGTGTTGACAAGGTAAACCTCCTCAACTGTTGCTTCCATACTGTATTCAGTCCACCTGACTTACATCTGTCTACTAAACTTACAACTCTATCTCAAGCTAATCCTAGCCACCTATCTGATGTTCATTTGACAGTGGCTGAAGTTGTGGATGCATCATGCAACTTAGACCCCAACAAGGCCTATAGAACAGATGGCATACCTAGCCAACTACTCATAAATGTCGTTGATGAAATTGCCCCTATGCTGTGCAGAGCATTTAATCTGTAACTTTCATTTGGGGTCATGCCTGCTAACTGGAAAATTGTGAACACCACCTCTGTCTTCAAGAAGGTCAATCCAACAATACAGTTAAATTAAAGACCTGTCTCTCTGCTTAACACAGAATCTAAGGTCCTAGAATGATGCATCTTTAATCAATGCTATCATCACCTTGAACTCTCCCCATACAAACCCCAACACAGTTTCCCTAAAGGAAGGTCTACAATAACACAGCTCTTGGAGGTTCATCACAACATTAGACATTGTCACTAGTGTTAAAGAGGTTGATGCAATCTATCTTGACTTATTCAAAGCCTTTGACAAGGTAACTCACAACTTGCTTCTATCAAAGCTTGAATATCAGGACATCAAGGACAAACTGCTTTGCATGGTTGCAAGTTATCTTACTGGCAGGCAACAAAGGGTTGTCCTTGAAGGGTCTCTCTCCTATTGGTTGCCAGTGACGTCAGGCGTGCCACAAGGGTCTATCCTTGGCCCTCTCTTGTTCCTTTCTTACTATGATATGTCCAATTACATCTACTCCAGATCTACTGTGGCTCTCTTTGTTGACAACTCCAAGTTATATCAAGCCATGGATGTGCCAGATGTCCATAGCCTCCTCCAAGATGATCTAGACTCCCTCAACAACTGGAGGTGGGACTGGGCTATAGAGTTCAACCCAACTAAATGTAAGGTTCTTCACATCTCCAAGAGGAAGTCACCCACTGGAGCTGACGATGGGAACTACAGTATTGGCAATCAACAAATTGAGTGGGTTTCCTCCATCACGGACCTTGGTATTACTGTGCCCAGGGACCTTTCATGGGCAAGGTATACTGAAGACATTGTTATGGAGGCTGAAAAACCCCTCAGCCTTGTCGAAAGAATACGCTGGGACCTGTCTCAGCCCACCATCAGAAGACTTCTGTACTGTGCCCTTGTGAGACCTAAACTGAAGTATTGTAGCAGTAACCTGTGGTCACCTTACACAGATAAACATTGAAAACTGTTAGAAGATGCCCAGTGTAGGGAAACCAAGTTCTTTTTTAGCTATCCTTAAGACATGCCTGTGCTGAGGGACTAATTAAACTGAACTTGCTACCCTTGGAACACAGCAGTGAGATTTCAGACTTGCTGTTATTTTCAAATCAACAAATGGTCTGATAATTACAGATATATTCATGACTATCTGTGCACCTCTGATCCTCATTATTAAACTCGTAACTATGATCCAAACAACTATACATGTTTCAAATACAAACAGGACTACTTTAGAAAATCTTTTTTTAATTGGACTACAGGACTGTAGAATACTCTTCCATCCAATACGAAATATACTATCTCTCTTAACATTTAAATCTAAATTAAATAACCGATATTTTTCTGAACTTGTCTCATACAGTCCTCCAAGTTAGTATTTTTATAACTTGAATTGACATGCTTTTTTGTAAACCTATTCTAGCCTATTTTGTGTCTTATCATTATATTATAGGGTTAGATCTCAATTGGGACGAAAGCTCTGTTCTTCTCTCCTGCCACTCCGTTTTCGGCCTCTTTTTCCTTTTTCTGGTAACTGTGTAAGGTAGATTAGTTGTTTGTATTTGTTGAACTGTGAGAAATAAATTAGGTAAATTAAATAAAAATAAATAGAAAGGTTCAAATACATCACATGACCAAATATCCCCCAACTAAAACTGGGTGATATCTGAGATTATCACCCAAGTGATTCCCCCAATTTTCAAATCTTATATCCACTACAATAAGCCTTTGTTTAATTTTTTATTTGAGATGAGGGAGGGTTTTGTGGTTGTTACGGTAGAATGGAAATATTTTTTTGTTCATAAAGTTGTACCAGAGAACATCCAAAAGAAAACATCCCATACTGCATCGCAAAATAGCTGAAGAATAATACACACAATAGCCTCTCCTCAGACATCTGTTCCTCGAAGCTCACAGTTTTCACAGTTAAAGCGTTCGGGAATTGCTGACTGCGATTATTTTTCTGTCAACAGTACATCCATTTGGGAGTGTTTCCATTTCGTGGTCCATTGGAAAGCAAGTGTACGAACGCATTGTGTTGGCAATTGCCAATGCGTCTAACCCTTTGGCAAAATTGAGAAATGGCAAGTTGAATTGTTACAAACAGAGCACCTTCACAGAAGAGGAATGTAAGAGTCATTTCTCATTATTTAGGAATGCATCTGTTGATGTCATTTTTAGAATGAGAAATGTCTCGGACCTGTATTTTGGAACTTACCTATTATCTATGTATGGCGGAATAGACCCTGAAATAAAGACTTTATGGATTAAAGTCTATAACAAAGGTAAGTCGAGTAGTTGTATATTGTACTTTGAATACACAATATGTGCAGTATCTGGAGGGTGTAATGGATGTTAAACATATATTTCGTTTTGCAGAATTATTGCTGGAAGGTACAAGTACAATTGTACGGACTCCAACAGTTTTTTAAAATTAAAATAGTGAGCAGCACTTTTGTGAAGTCATTGTAAAACTTCTTTCTTTTCAAATGCATTTCATCTAACTGCTGTAGACTTCTTCGTGGAGTTTTACAAGTATAGCCAAACACCTGTATTTACGAGCCAAAGTTAGTGGCTATTACGGGGGCCAATGACCATAAAGGCTTGGCTGGACTTACAAACGGGAACAGGCAAAGTTTTGAAAAATTTTAAACATGGGAAGGTGAGAAAAATATTTTGAGGGCTAAGGTTTTAGCTAAAACCAAGGCTGACAGTTGGACGAAATGAGAACTTGATGAAGAAATTTTTCAAAGCTGCAGTTCCTGTCTGTTTCTCCTGGCAAGAGAATTCTTTTAGAGGAATTTTCAAAAGTTTGTGGCTTGATTCATTCTTCAACCCCCATGAAAAACATTAATCCCACATTTGATGTTATTCCCAACAGATGTTATTTTATAATTTATGCAAAATTGAATAACCTGCCAACAGAACACGATTAGCAACAACGTTATGCAGACATCCCTTTTATGCATGCAACAAAGAAAATAGGAGATATCTATAGGCAGGCAAGCACCTACCTTGAGGTCCACTGTTATTCTTACCCAAAGATAGCTGCCCAGTCATGATGAACTGGTTTCTTAAAAGGCTTCAGTTATTCTTAAAGTTGAAATTAAAGTTTATGGTTACAGGATGCTTCAGGGACAAAATTTGTGGAAAATGTTTTCTTTTTGCAGAGTCTGAAGTGTTTAAGTGTAATCTATCAAATAACACCTTTTTAATGGATACGAATGATTTTAAATTGTATTATAATTTGTGTTATATTAGGTTTACAAACTTTAGGAATGGGGTGTCCTTGATAGGGTAACCTGTGATATTTTCTTTTGTTGTATCAGTTTACATAAATTATTAAACAAAACCCATGATTTGATTTGAAATCAATGTATTTCATCGTGTGAATAACAGTATAATTGTCTTTCGTGTTTTAATTTTAGTTTTTTACATTATTTTACTATTCTTTCAGCAGGACTAACACCAACACCAATGTCAACACCAACGTCAATGCCTATGTCAATGCCAACGTCAATGCAAACACACAAAAATGATGCGACAGCTGGTATAACAACATTAATTCAAGTTTGTAGAGTGACCTATGTAGCATATTCACTAGGAAAAACTTCCAAATCAGCCTCTCCATAAACATAAGATTTACATGTAACCTATTAGGTTATATGCTTGTTGCCTACTTGCCTACTCATTAGACTTGCAGTGTATATTGTGCATGGCCAGCAACTCATTTAACATGTTGCAGGTTGTTGTGTCATGATGCTTTCCTATTCAATCAGCCGAAGCACAACAAAAACATGTGTGGAAATGTTATAATTTTATTTGTCTTCGCAACTTTCATGAGTTTTGTGCACTCAGTATTGCTTGAGATTTTGCTTGAGATTATGCAAAACATTCTATTGCAGTCCAGATAGGGAAGTGGGCAGTTAATGTTATGTATGTTGTACTTGGGTCTTCAAACTGCAGCCTGCAGTCATTAATTGTACTAGTTTCTGCTAAGAAATTCTGTTAATGAAAATGGGTGGGACCTAAATGAAATTACCATGCAAACAAGAGTGTGGGGCATTGAGCTGGACAGTCATTTAGTAACATCACACAGCTATGCATGAGGCAACTGTATTCTAAAATTATGATTTACTTCATATATTTACTTCACACTTGTCAAATTTTGGGTGGTTAGACTTGAGGGATGATCAATTGATTTGCAAATGAAGAATTTGTTAGATGCAAATTTGTTTTTGTTGAATGATAATGGCGACAATTTTGATCATTGCATTTCCTAGATGGAAGTAACAATTTGTTTTTCTTATTTCTTTCTTACAGCTAGCATTCAACCAATCTCTCCTACAACTAATCCCACAGAAGTTTTGCTAACTTGTCATTGTTTTATTATACTTTTAGGAACAAGTCACTTGGCTGTCATAATTGTTGTACCCATCCTAACAGTAATTGTGGTTGGCATCTTAGCACTTATTGCAGTTTGGCGTTGGAAAAAGCGTTCCAAAAGAATTGCACGTATTGAGGCAGGTGGCGATGAGTCCAAAGAAGAGAAGAATCTCGAGATGTCTGAACTGGGTTTGTACTAATTAAAAGTGAATTTTAATTAATTAATTAATTAATTGTCAAGAAACCAAGACCTAAGTGGTCGGAAGGGGCCAATGAGTCAAAGTCAAAGTAAAAACAAGCAAACTACTTTACGTGCAATCAAATGCATTTGACCCAATTGTGATTGGTTTTTGGAATCAGTTCAGATTGATTAAGAGGATGGCAGGAGTTTTGTGGACCAAACACCAAGCAAAACCCAAGCAACTTTTGTCGCTCAGTTGAAAATTGCTCTTAATCAAAGATTAGGTTGCAAACACAGAGATAAACTTAAAACTGATATTTCTCTGTTCCCTTTCTTTCTCTTTGTTTTTAGATAGCCAAGATAACCTAGTGACTTCACAGGTAGTTACGAAGATGGTTTAAAATGCCTCAACATGCTGTCTTTTGAAAAGAGCCACCATCTCTTTGATGTTACATTCTTGTACAAACCTCTTAATGGCTACCTTAACATAGATTTAACCCCATTTTTAGACTTTTTACTCTCAGGCTGATCCGTTCAGGTTTAGTTGATGACCATTGAACTTTACCAGGACTACTGAATTTAAATATAGTTATTATAACAGAATTGTTAAAATTGGAGATCAGATTAGCACCCAGCCTAGAAGCCTTCAAGGTTAATGTAAAAAAAAAATTCTCAAAGAATCGTAGTTGGGGTAGAGTAGGGAACTGAATGTTCATTTGAATGTATTTTACTGCTCTGCGTGTTTCTTGATATTAAGATTGTAACTAGACGCATAGCTTCGTGAACTCACGCTTTTAATATCACACATCTACAGTTATCTTTAGGGGACTTCCATATTGCCATTGTGACTGTTGTCACGCAATTTTGTCATTGCCGGTCATGAATAAGTCTATTTAAGTTTATTTTTGTCTCCTGAAGTGTAATTAACAATTATTCCACGAGCGCGCGTTGGATATGAGATGATAGATAGCCAACGAGGCGCGTAGCACCGAGTTGGCTATA